CCCGGTCCTCCGGGCAGAGGTCCTAGTGGTGGCGGGTCGCAGGGGGGGCAGTTCACCCCATTCCCAAATGAGTGGCACAGCGTTGGGGTTGGATCAGCAGATGTCCTCACAGAAGAATCGGTGTATAGGCATAAAGCCCTTCAATCGATCAAGATAGACAGTCTGCCGCAAGATGCTGGTGCATTTCGAGGGTGGAAGAATGGGATCATCACAAAGCTGTGTTCGATAGATGTGACAGGACATGAAATTATCCTCGGTTGGATCTTGGAGGCTCTAGACCCAACTGCTGATCTCAATCCACGTGCTTGTATGGCTTTGCCGCGGCTAGAAGCATACATCGCTGCAGTCCTTGCTGAACCGAAACATCTCAAGGGTGACTTGGGTGTTCAGTTTCAAGCATACTGTGAGCAGTGTCAGCAGCTCAGGATGTCTCCCAAAGGAAGGTTCACGCTTCAAATGATTGCGAAACGTTTTCAACTGGATCTCAACCGTGGGGCCAACCTGACACAGCAGTCGTTGTTGGAGTTGTCATTGGATTCATATACCCAAGAGGGGCTCTCAAAGTTCATCGAAAGAATTGAACTTGTGTTGAATTCCATTCCTCCTTCACATCAGCCAAGTGAGATGACAAAATTCACATGGTTGTTCAGTAGACTCAAGCCCTGTCGCAACATGCAACGCTTCATCGATCGTATCAAAGATGCACGGGAGGGATCTCACGTCAAGACTTGGGATTGGTTGTATGACAAGTTGCAACGGGTAGTCATAGAAATGCGTGAAGATGCAAACGAAGAATCAGTCAGACGTTCGCTTTCTCCGACCAAACCCAAACAGGATCGACCAAAGGGAGACGGTAAGGGTAAGGATCTGAAAGCTAATGTTGCTGTCGACACAGATGACAAGGGTGCAAAGGCATTACCAGGTCCCGCGAAGCCGAAGCCAAGGGCGAAGGCTGACTCCAAAGGAGGCGGAAAAGGAAAGGAAGATGGCAAACAGCAGCCAAAGGCTGCCTCGCCGAAGTCACAAGTTCCCACACCAAAACCCAAGGCAAAGCCTAAAGCTGAGGCGACAGCGACCCAAGATCGCTCCGCAGTGCCATGTCTGTTCTATCCAAATGGAACACGCAGTCGGGGTGAGAACTGTCCTTTCTTCCATGACCCAAAGGGAAAGCCGGCAGCAAAGCCGAAGGCTACTGCTGCAACCTTAGTGCCAAGGCCACAGTTGCGGTGATCTCAGCTGCACAAGGGGTATCGCGAGCCTCGGCAGAGTCATCGGCCTCACAAACTCATGCTTCGAGTGGTTTCGGGTGGGAGGTGTTGCAAGCATCACTTCGGGCATTCGCAAGACCGTTCATGGCATTGGCATCCTTGTTTGCATGCATTGGTCAATCACAGTTGCCTGCACCCTGTGCAGCTCTGTGGGCGTCCCCTGCAGTCATGTCACATGACAGTAGTGTAGCATTGAGCGCAAAGATGTCTGATTCGTACATGTTGGAGTGGATTGCAGACTCAGGAGCAGGTCGAGACTTGGCATCCGAGCGTGCATTTCTAGAGCAAGGGGTTCCCATATCCTTTGTACAGAACTGTACTCAGTCCTGCAACCCAATCAAGTTCGAAACAGGAAACGGAACATATGTTAGTGCGCCTGTATTGAGATGCCGGGTTCAACGTTTGGCAAAGCCTCGTTTCAGGTCATGGATAACTGTCCTCTTGTCAGGCCCTTGGGTAGGATAGTGGAGGAAGAAAAGCGGCCATTCATTTGGATGCCTGGCAGTCAACCATTCTTTGGTCTCAATCCAGACTCGGTTCAAGTGACAGCATCATCCATCATCAGTGCAACACGTGTGGAAGATGGTGTACCAATCTTTTCTGCAAAGTTCACAACAACTTCATCCTATGCTCTAGCTGCTGGTAGCCCGGCCGATCCTGATGCACCAGGTCCTGCGAGGGAGATTGAGGACGACGTGATTGCCTCCGATGCAGCTTCAGAGGACGATGCAGAAGAGCCGGTGAATCGCTACAGAAGATTGGCAATAGAAGCTCAGTCACTAGAACACCGAATGTGTCACCTACCGAAGAATCGTGTCCCATATGTCAACGTTCAAGAATGTACAGAAAGTCTGTAAGAAAACTGCGTCATGATCCCTTGACAGACAGAGGAGCACTAGAACCAGTGACTCACTTTGGACAGAGAATCGCTACGGACTTTATCGTAGTTCAGAAGCTCGGTTCCAACATGCATGGTTGCAAAGCGACCTTGCCTCATGTATGTACCTATCTCATTTGTTGATGCATATGACACTTTATTCGAGGGGGGAGTTGAGAAATCACAGGGAATCCTACCCCTTCTCATGTATAGCTCATACGTGTCATGTTGCATTGTCTCATTTTGCTTTGGCACCTTTTATCTTTGGCTCAAGCGCTGTGGAAAATAGCTTGCGCCCTGCTTTGGTTGCACATTAGTCCAGTACCGTTGAGGTTGTGCGGTACTTTGGATTAACTAATATTAAAAAATGAAAAAAATAAAAAATTAAATACATATAAAAAATGAAATCAACATAAATAAAAATCTGCAAAAATTGCTATATATAAATCTCTAAAAGCTAAAAACATCTTTAAAATTTTCAAAAAATCTCAAATCATCTCACAAGCCGGGGTTTCGTGGGAAAGGGTTTCGGAATTACAATATAGTTTCCCAGGATCAAAATCTTAAAAAACCTAAAAAATCTTAAAAGTGCATAAAACATGCAAAAAATATGAAAAATCTGAAGAAAATCTGAAATATATATATATATAAATAAAATAGTTCTTTAAAAAAATAGAAAATAGTTTTAAAAAAAATAGATAAAAATACAATACATAGAAATTGAAATATATGCAAAAACATGTGAAAACACTCTCATGGTGAGCGGAATGGTCAGCTGCTGTCAGTTGCTGTCAATTGCGTGGCAAGTGTGTTTTGTTGTTGTCACACATGATCAATTGTGTGGGCTAGTGTGTCAATGGGTTGCTGAAAATAGAAAAACATAGTTTAAGGTCTAAAAAAATCCCCCAAAAAATGTTTTGTTTTTTCTGTTTTTCTGTTTTTTGTGATTTTGTTGATTTTAAACTGTGTTTTTCGATGTTTGCATGAAAAAACCATAGGAAACCTAACCCGGGCAGATCTGATCCACCACTTAGACTCAGTGATTTGAAGGATGGAGTGTCGGACCCGCTCATCATGCCATTAGCTTTGGCCCAACACAGTAAAGTTGAGAAAACAGTGCCCTGAAATATCGAGCAACTACTACATGGCATCACTGTAGCTTTCCAGCCACAATGGGCTCAATGGATATCCAAGTAGATCTCCATCACCAAAAGTGCGTTGCTCGGTGCCGTTATCCTCACAACAAACGTGTTGAGGAACGGCACCAAGCCGGCCAGCAGCGCCGACGCGACGGCCGCTGCCAAAGACAAGAAAAGTAAGAAGGTGGAGAGGGAAGTATGTGGAGGGGCCCTCTTCATTCACAAAGTTTTTTTGACGATGTAGATCTTCAAACACAAGAACCAACCTTCGCAGAGGCCTTTGTTAGCAAAAGAGGGCCAAGTGCTCCGTGCTTGAAGGCTCTTGGAGTTGGTGTCTCCGCTTTGTATCCAGGTTTGTTCCTGGTCAGCACAACCATTTCAGTTGTCGCCCAGACACTCCAACCAAGTTTGACACTTGTCCTTTTCCTTCCACAAGTGTTCGGGCCTTCACCATGCAAGTGAGTTCACTTTTGTGGATGCCCAACCTGTTCGCTGTCAGGAGGTAGCACGGATCTTGGATCTCCTTCCAGCTGCCACGTTGGCTTACTACAGGAGCATGGACCAAGTGATCCATCGGGCCGGCTCCGGGTCCATTGGGCAGGGGTGTTGAATGATGCAATTGGTCAGTTGGGACGGACAGAGTGGGTTGGGAGATTGGTTGCTGTGGGTTTGTAGAGCATTAGCACATTGGTGCTTGCACAGCCTCCTGTCCATGTTTACAAAACGGCCACGGCATTGACTGATACGTTCCATGGACGAAATCGTTTCCCATAAGGAATGCATGTTGGAAAGCAACTGCTATGCCAAGTCAATCAGATTTACGGTTAGACCCTGGTTTCCAGGCCAACTGCTGTTTTTCCTCCTCCAACGCAGTCCACCGCATTGCAGGATGCGGTTCACCAGCGTCTTTGAGAAGCCACAAGTGAAGCGAGGCCTCTCGAGCACTGTGGTGGCTTGGTCAAAGTCCACGCCCAGGGCCAGCAGAGTGGCCGGGGTGTCGGAAATCACAGCACCTGTTTGTTCGACAAACATGAATTGGATAAAGAAAAGCCGTCTTTTTCCACCAATACTTCCTGGTCACCAAGTCTAGTGGGCAAAACTGTGCCATTCGAGTTTGTGATGTCCCGAGCTAAGTTTGGACACGCGGTCGCAACCTTGTAACCTGTGTTGGTCGAAGATCGCCCGGTGGACACCAAAAACGATTGATGCCAGAGGTCTTGACCTCCATGGAAAGATGCATGTTTGCTCCTGTACTGGTATGTAGGGTTTGAAATTTGGGCCATGGAGGCCATATCTAAACAAGCTAAGAATGATCCTAACCTTTCCCTCGTGCAAAATGCCAAAAAGATCTGCATGTGTGGGGAGTACATACTGTTATGTTATGCACATCCCTCACATGGGGCTGGGATGCACAACAACCAACATGTACATCAACATGGATTCAATTACATGTGTGGGTACAGATCCCTATTTGGAAGGTTGCTGCCTCCACACCTCACACGTGAGCCCAGAAACCGACCTGCCAAGAGCCACAGGACCGCCACTTCAAAGCCATCATGAGCATCGAGAATCTCAACGGAACATCTCATACACTACAATGATCAAATGGCCCACAAGAAGAGTACGAGCAACATTCCAGCAGGCTTTTACGCAAATCAAACCAACCGATAAAAAACCCTACAAAATACCAGAGATTGGGGAAACTATGCCAGAATTCCTTGTTCTAGGGATCTACTTTTGTGCGGTAGGCATTTTGAGACATGAGAGTGGCCTTGAATGAGCGCAACAGTCCCATGCGGGTTCTCGGATCAAGGTTCATAGGTCTCATATAACTTTCCTTTGAAACTCCCAGAAGTTCTCGTCCACAGGATGCGGCTGACAATTGGGGAGGTCGCGCCCTTGGGGAGGTCTATTGATGGACCATTGACCCGCCCATTGATGGACCATCAGCTAGCATTATCCCAGACACCGAACAAGTAGACAAAACAAAAGACTTGCAGAATGTGTACAGTACAACTCTTAGATCCCTAGTGCAGTACCTGCTGTGAAGAATAGTTCTAGGTGTTCTGAGTTCTGCCAGAGTCCAGGTCAACTCAGCATCGCTTTGGCCAAGGTCTATGCCAACCTTGCCCTGTTGGCGGTCTTTGTGGCTTGACAGAACTTTGGGATGTTGAGTTGGAAAGCCCACAGGTATGGTAAGGTTGTAGTCACTTGGATAGGTTGTGCCCCCATAGCCTATAGCTTTGTTTTCTGCGAAGGGCAAAGCACGGATTCAGACCGTGCATGATTCTTCTAATGAATGACTGCGGGCTCAAAGCCCACACAACATTCATGAAAGTTCATCTCCCTAATCCAGCGGTGCCGAGTTTCCACCGGAGTTCAATGTCTCAGCCCTTCTTAAGCTGGTGCGACTCGTGAGGAATGAGGGCGCAGAGTGATCCCAGGAGGGTGACCACCCTCAAACCCATTGCTTGCACGATGAAAGTCGCCAGTAGCCGCCTGCCATAATACAAGCTTGTTGCTACTACTCAGAACTCAGAACTGTCCACGTGCGCGGCTAACTCTCCAGGCAGTGAACGGGGGTCAGAAAGTCTCGCCGGCCCGAACACTGGTCAGTTCTCAGAGAACAAAGAAGGGGCCCGGCTTTGTGAACCTCATCTTCCAAAATACGTTCATCGATGGGGCAATGGGCTACAGCAGCCATCGATGGGGCAGCAGCTCGCCGGAGTTCGCGAGACAGTTGTTTACTCAAGCGGCCAGCAGACGCTGAGTGCAAGCGATGCAGGGTTCAAGTTGGTTTGGTTCAAAAGTGCCAAAAAAGAAACAACGCAGCTTGTTCATTGCTCACGTTCCAGAAAACCATGCCGACTCAACAAAAGCTAATTAGCCCGGCTCCAATCTAGCAGTGAAGATGGAAGTTTTTGGCACTCTGAGGCTCGGGTCGTTGCGCCCCGCTTGCTGGCAGCGGACAACTTGGACGAGTTCTTCGAGGTCTCTTGGGATAGGTAAAGGAGATGTTCTTTGGGGTTTGGCCCAGAAAGAAATGTTGGAAGAAGGCTTTCTCCATTGGTTGCCATAGTGGATGGTTTCTTTTGCGGCTTTGATTCTTCAGCGAGGGATGTAGCCCATGTGAGCCTTTGCAGGGTACGAAGAGGGTGAGAAGGTTGAAGACTTTCGCTGAAATTGAATAATGAGAAGACTCCAAAGAGCTCAACGATCACCCATCACCTGCTGATTCATGCCGAGATTTCCCGCTGAAGTTGCCTTTAGCGAAGAAATCCCCATCTCAGAGGTGCTTGAAAAAATGTTGTGTTCTCCTGCGAGGTTACTTTAGGCGTTCAGGCGCTTCCTTGATTTTCCCCCCTTTCTCTCCAAGCCCTCGCCTGACAGTCTCAGGCTGTTGAGCCGCTGGGAGTGCCCGACCGTGCTTCCTTGAACCTCGGTGAAAGGTGTGACCTTGGCTAAGGTCGGAGGAATGCACGCCATCAATTCAAGGAGAAGCCTCATGTTCGTGGACCTAATTCCACGCTGGTAAAGCCCAAAGGCTTCTTTGATTATGTCATTATGTCCAACAAATTGATGTGATGTTTTTACACCAGGGAAATCTGCCAAAAAAAACACATTTACCATGATGGGGGTTCTGCAGTTCTCGACTTATCGCAGAAGCGTGACATGACTGGCGCCAAAGATCGAAACAGAATTCGATCAGACATGGTTTGATATAGATTGCCGCTTTTTCTATGGACATTTCCTAGCTGCTACTCGTAGCTGCAACTGTTCATTGTGGAAGGAAGCAACATCATGAAATAGATTTACTGTACTTGTTCACTTTGATTTTTAGGATGGGTATTTTGCAATCGATTGCCGACTACGACACCGCCTTAAAGATCACACTCTACATCGCGGCCTTCATCGTGGAGAAGCTGCTCCTGGGCTGAGGAGTGGTCGAGTCTTCTCCGTTAGGCACAGATGGAGCTGTGCAGACACGGCCCATGAGCTCATTCCTGGTGGTTCCGAAATGAGTTCGGAGCTGAGGTGTTCGTATCCTTTTCGTCTCAGCTGAACAACTGTGAAAGAGAAGCTGTTCCACTTGCTATCGAATTCACGGATGTCAATCCAAAATCGACCCGGCGGTGCCGGCTCACCGAGGCTGATGCTTACGGAGTTCCTTCCCATCCAGATCGCCTTGAAAACATTGGCTCCGATCATCTTTGGAGGCGTCCAGTACGATCAACTGACTCAAATTCAGTTTGCAAAAGAATTTGCACCCGGCGCCGCCCCTGCAGACGCGGTTGGGCTTTGCGTGTAAGCGTGCGCCGCAGGCTTGGTGCAAGGTGCTTTGGCCTCAGCAACCACAGAGACCATAGCTGCTTGCTGCAACTTCATCATCGGCCGAAACTTCTTCAAAGAGACTTGGATGGAATGTGCTGGATGGGTGGCAAGGCGGGTTTAAGCCTGGGATAGGTATCCGAAGTAGAGTCCCCCGCGCCTCCATTCCTCATGGTTAGGACATGTTAAGACTAAGGGAAGGAATTAATGTGAATCGAAGATTCATTTAGCGCGCTGCTGTTTCTTTTTGCGTAGACATGCCTCCAAGTGCGTGATTCGCATCACTTTGTTGAGGTGTAGCACTTTGTAAACCTCGAAGTGCAGTATTTGTGGCAGGCGCTGCGCTCACAAGAAGAGGACACTGGGTTCGCCAGCAGGAGGACACCAAGAGGACAAGAGGAGGACACAAGGTTTGCCAGGCGCGCAGAGGACAGCAGGAGGACACCACGAGACAAGGAGGACAAAGGAGGACACACGGTAAATGGCGGACAAGAAGGCGACAACAGGAGGACAACACCCGGACACGATCAGACAACCCCAACAGCAAACAGCAAACTGCATGGAGAAAAAACACAATGAACGTATGTAAATAAATGAAACAAGTCCTGTGCGGGCTCGTGCGAAAAGCAACTCTACAGTCAGCCTTTACAAGGTGACCATGTACCTTCTCATCTTGAAACCACTTGTCAAAAAAGCACCCACCCTCACCTGGCTAAACATTGACCACCTTTGCTAGCACCTTATCCAGAAGCTTCCTAGTCGTACAAAGTTCACCTTTTGTGTTCAGCATGTTTCATTGCATTTGCTTGGGATATACATGTGATTATATGTTAGACCCTGCCTAGGCCTGTTTGTTTGGCCAATCCTGTTCCAGGTATGGAACTATTCCCTAACACTTGGGAACTATTCCCTAATACTTAGGAACTATTCCCTAACACTTGGGAACTATTCCCTAATACTTGGGAACTATTCCCTAATACTTGGGAACTATTCCTAAATGCTGTGGAACTATTCTTAAATACCTACTAGCTGTCACTATCTAAATTAATATTTTGGACTGGGTCTTGGTGAGGGTCTGTCCGTTTGTACTTGGATGCTTTTCGATTTTCAGCATCTTTGGAAGGAACACTTCACAGCACAGTGTTTACATTCCATGAACCACTTGCGACAAGGCAATCACACTAACCTTTGGTTCTACTTCCAATCAATGTACCTTTTGCTTTTCCATTCTTATATGTTTTGTCTTGCGCCGACAAACGTAGCTTTGCATTGCCCCCGAAGCTGAGCACTAAAGCATTGAGTTGCAGCATTGCACTGCCCTGTCCCTGTCTCAATCATGTCCCATGTGCGATTGGTCCAGCAATGGGAAAGAGCAACATGCAGCATATCAGCCTGTTCAAGATCAACCAGATCAACTGCATGAACTTCTTCATATAATGCCTATATGTGCCACGGCTGTTTAGGCTCTGGTTTGCTGCGTGTTGTTGACTATGCTGGCACCTGTGTCACAAAAGTGCAATGGTGATACTACCATGGGGTAAGGTTGGTCCATTTTTACATTACATACATAGCTTGTAGCTCAGTTTGCAATGATGCGCCACTTCTCTCATCGTGGTGGTGATGATGAGAGCTCAGATGACTCGTTTGCAAATACTGAGATGTTGACAAGAGTTCTGAGAGGAACCTAGACTCTAGACTGTATAGATTTTGTTTCTTTATCATTTATCGTTGTTTTGACTCTTGACTTGGGTGACTCGACTCCTGACATTGAGACCAGACACAGACATGTCACATTTGATGTTTCTGAGTGGCGGGTTCAGCCACTTGACCAATAACGAAGCTCCGTGTTGGCCCGCAAATTCATTCATTTTGACTTTGACCACTGGGCAGGGGCCAAGTGTTAGTTGTCTTTTGGACTTGGACTTGGACTTGCACTGAATCAGAAGCCAAGCGTCATGCCATTGGAAGACAAAACGCTACCCCTTTTGAACTGGCCATTGGAGTACTGCAAGCGGCTTGGGGTCAAAGAATTGACCCTCGGCGGCATTAAAATGGATACGGTATGAGATATGAGTCCGGGGTCCTATGAGTCAATGTAATGAAACTGTTTAAATGATGTGAGTCATGTCACCATGTCAGTCATGTCAAGTCAATTCTAATTGTCCACTTAGTTAGGAAGGATCTACTGATCTACCTGATCTTGTCAAGTCCAAGTGCACTTAAATTTTTTGGTTGCCTGGTGACACGTGTTCAAGTCAACTAGGTCAATGTCAGCAGGACTGCCACTACTTCAGATCGTAGAGGGCTGCACTGGAGCCGCAACAGGAACATTCATTCTGAAGCCTGGCAGGAATTGAGGGAACTTTCAAACGAGCCTGGTCCTGGTGGACTCACTGACAAACATGACTTGGTGGCACAGAGAAATTGTTGGAACAAGGTTTGAAGTTGAATTGAAGTGTGAGCTTCGTCTTTCAGCTTGGCTGTGCCACCACCAAGGAAGGAGGTCGTGAAGATGCTCACTGACTTTGGGGCCACCGACCTGAAGTTCAAATCCTACCCCATGGAATGTGACAAAGAAGCACCGTATTTTGTCAGCACCACTGAGCCGCTTTTTGTCCAGCCAGGGTCAGGTTGCAGGATTGAGGGCTCTAGCTGAGAATGACGCAACCGTTTTGGGGTTAAAGCAAAGATGCAGTAGACACTCTAGACACTTTTTGCCAGACACAATTTTGCCCAGTCCAGTCTAGTCTGAAGCCTTGTTGCTTCTTCCCACAGCCTTCGTTGCCACAGATGTTCTGTTCACCCTGGGGAGATTTGCCACCGTCTCTGTTTGGTAGTGAGCTAAGTCGCCCACGTGCTGGATGATACTGGTTTTGGCGTCACTGGAGGGCATTGCTCGCTCCATGGTAAGGGATGCCACCTTCCCACTGACCCAGAGGAGCAATGGCAATGGGAACGAGAGTGTGTCACATTTGACTGAAGTTTTTTGTCACGACTATGACTATATGGTATATGATTCATGATGATTATGATGGACTCTATGGACTATGGACTACGAAAATGCCTCATTACTCACTATGGTCAATTATGATTATGGTCCTGTATGAAACTTAGAGGCCAGGCTGGGCAGCTTTAGGCTTTCCTTTTGATCAGGGACGTGAACTGTTCAGAGGTTCCTCAATGCCTGGATGTCAAGACATATTTGCCTTCGGGCCACCATGTCGCCCATACTTGGTTCTGAACTGCAAGCGGGGCAAGAACTTCAATCCATTCCTGGAAACAGACGCAAAGCCCTTTTTAAGTGGCTCTCGTCACATCAGACACTTGGCTTCTGCGCAATGGCGTATCCAGCAATTCAAAATTGAAGGAATGAATGAATGACTGACGACTATGACTCTGACCCTATGACTCATGACTATGACTCTGACTGAATTAGAAAAATTTGTTCACTTCAACTCAATTCAATTCAGTAATTCATTTCAGAACTCAGATCAAGTGTGTTTTTCCTGATCTGATCTACCTACTGATCTCCAGTTACAGTGTTCATTCGTCATGAGTCACTTGTACCATGAATCATGAAATGTCAGTCACTGGCCAGATTGTGGCAAACATCTGAAATGTGAACATTGTTGTTTTGTTTTTATTCCACATGATAGCCAGACTCAATGATGCACAGAGACAGAAGAGCAAGGCAATGTCATTTTTTGGACAGTGGATTCAGGGGTTGACAACTCAGGGCTTCGCCCGCCAGAGGTTGTTCTGTTTGACTGACAGACTCTAAGTTTAACATTGGTAAGAGTTAAGTAAATTTCAATTTCTATTCTTCATATCGAATCTTATCGAATCATATCATATCGGCAAATTTCTTGCATGTTGGTTTCTGGTTAACAGGAAGCGGCTAGGCTTGTGAGCCCGTTTTGCAAAATAAGGTTGCGACAGGGATTCCATCAAACGTGATATGACACCACTGGCTGAGTCAAGGGTCTCAAGAGTTGGGTGACTGAGATCTTTTGACACGAGTGGACGTCGACGTGAAAAGAATCTGTCCTCAAACTCAATTGCAGGTGGAAGGCAGATTTCTGCGATTCCCCGGTGGATCGAACGGATCTTTCTTCAGAGATTACAAGGCCTGCTGGGATCACGGCGCTGATTCTCACACTCACTGGTTCTCCAGAGTTCGGGTGTTCAAACCACTGCGCGCTTGTGGCACCCCTGTCCTGCGTACCAATAGATAGCGCGTCAGACTTCAGGATCCCAGGCTGCTTTTCAGAATGAGGCGTGTCTCTGGCTTGCGGAGACGGGGTAGTTCTTACTAGGTACAGTCAGTACAGCGCATAGAGAGCAAGATGGGACTTAGGTTGTCAATGCAACATGCATCGCCAATAACCAAATTGTCTTTGAGTCTATGATTAAAGGGGTTCACTGGCAGGCCACTTTCAATGGGGAATCATTGTCATCATTCTCAAATTGTCAGATGCCATACCATACCAGGTCATGTCGCGGTCCGTTCTTTTGGGGAGTGAATGAATGTTTTTCAGTGTTTTAGGATGTATGTTTTTTGTTATTTGTGTCATGTGCCGGTGCCTCAACAGTTTTTGTCTTCAGACTCAGCCATTTCTGTGACAGGAGAGTTAGGACGACAGAGACAT